GGGGAGGGCCAATCCAGGCCTTTGCCACTGATAACCTGGGTGTATTCTGGGATGAGTCATGCCACAAAGGCAGTTTGATTATACCTTGTAGGTGAGAATCCAAAACATCAAAATGACTTCCAATTCTTTTGGAAGCCTGTGTGAGGAAATGACGTTTGACTTCTTTGGAAAAGTTTTATGTCGTTAAAATAGGAACAGATGAGGGCCGGCCCGGTGGCGCACTGCTACAGTGCACCGCTTGGGAGCGTGGCGGCCCTCCCGCCGAGGGTTCGGATCCCACATACAGACCGGCTGCTCACTGGCTGAGCGAGGTGCGGGCGCAACACCAAGGGTTGGGATCCCGTTGCCGGTCCCGGTCCGGTACGGGCGTGACACTGAGGGTTGCGATCCGTTGCCGGTCACGAAAAAAGACAATAAGGAAAAAAAAAAAAGGAACAGATGAACATCTCTGCAGAATCAGACAGACGAGCTGATTCTCCAAGCTCTCCCCACTTTTGGTTGCCTCTGGTGTGGGGACATTGGGGGTCTCAGGAAACCAAAGTGAGACTAGTGAGAGTTAGCAGTGAAATCTCACGTGTCTCCCCGAATGAGCAGCTGCGATTGCCAGCAAAATCTCCCCCAGGTGTGTGCATTTTCTCTTTTCCTCCTGTCACGTCATTATATTTAGATATTTTTAAAGTATCTTACTGCTCCACAGTAATGACTCATGAGCCACAATCCCCACTGGAGCAGGGCACTTTGGACTGTTGTCACGTCTAAGGTGGTGCTTTCTATGGCCTCATAGCCTCTGGCCCAGCAAATGGAAAGACTTCTCCAGAACAGAAAAAATAAAACAATTAAAAACTGTACTACGTCTCCACTCCCATTTTCAAAATTCACAGCACACAGAGCTTAATGTCAGTATTGTAAATCTGTAAAGGTAAGACCTGCTTTTCCATTTTGGAGTGCTGATCTGACTTCACCTGTGTGTTGAGAACTGAGATATTCATTTACTTTGCTTAAGAAATTGTATTTTCCATAATATGACCTGCAGTGTATCTAAAAATAACCCAAATGAATTTGCCATTTTAAAAATATTCCAAATGTATTGACGTCATTCCCTCCATAGATGAATTTTCTTCTTGTCACTGTGTCTTTCTATTTTTTGAGGAAAGCCATGTGCTCTATGAGTCAGGTGGACTGTGGTAAATTGAGAGTGAAGTTTCAACATTTTTACTGTGGAAATCAAAACGTCTTTACAGACCTTCAAGTCACATAGCTGACAGAGACAGGGTAGGGCTGTCTCCTGGGAAGGCATCCCTCCCCTCCCACCAGAGTGGAAGGCGGCAGTGTGTCAGGAATATGAAAAGGCAATATTGTAGAAACTGACAACAAGACCCAAGAAACTTGTTTCTGCAAAGAAACCAAGACCACCTGCATATAAGGGTAACC